TGCTGAAGTCAGGAATTATTCAGCCAAGTACTAGTCCTTATTCAAGCCCGGTACTGTTAGTTAAGAAGAAAGACGGAAGTTGGAGGTTCTGTGTTGATTATAGAGCCTTAAATAAAATTACTGTTCCGGATAAGTTCCCAATCCCAGCCATTGACGAGTTGCTAGATGAATTGAAGGGAGCTACAATTTTTTCCAAGCTAGATTTAAAATCTGGGTACCACCAAATACGAATCAAGGCTGGGGATGAGCCTAAAACAGCATTCCGAACACATGAGGGGCACTATGAATTTAAGGTGATGCCTTTCAGATTAACTAATGCTCCCTCCACTTTTCAATCATTGATGAATGAGGTATTTCGAGAGTACTTGCGCAAGTTTGTGTTGGTGTTTTTTGATGACATTCTCATATACAGTGATGGCCTAACCTCACATTTGAAGCATTTGGAGACTGTTTTCTCTATTTTGAAGGAAAACCAGCTGGTTATTAATTTAAAGAAATGCAGTTTTGTGCAACCAAAGATTGAATATTTAGGCCATTTAATATCAAAAGAAGGGGTGCAAGCCGATCCAAGCAAGATAGAAAGCATGGTGAATTGGCCTAAACCTAAGAATGTAAAATCATTAAGGGGATTCCTAGGGCTGACTGGATACTATCGACGATTTGTCAAGAATTATGGGAAAATCACTAGTCCTCTTACTGAACTACTCAAGAAGGATTCTTTTAAGTGGTCCCAAGAAGCAGAAAAAGCTTTTGATCAACTCAAAACAACCATGACTACACTACCCGTGCTTGCTATGCCTGATTTCTCCATTCCTTTTGAGTTAGAAACTGATGCATCGGGAACGGGAGTAGGGGCTGTTTTGATGCAACAAGGCAGACCAGTGGCTTATTATAGTCAAAAGCTTTCAAATAGGGCTCAACAATGCTCTATTTACGAAAGGGAGCTTATGGCTATTGTAATGGCAGTCAAGAAGTGGCGACATTATCTTTGGGGGCACAAATTTACCATCCGCATTGATCAAAAGGCTCTGAAATACCTGCTGGAGCAAAGAGTAGTTGACGAGAACCAGCAAAAATGGGTCTCCAGATTGATGGGATTCAAATTCGAAATTGTGTATAAGCCCGGGAAAGAGAATAGGGCTGCTGATGCTCTGTCTAGGCAAGATGAGTCACTTGAACTAATGGGATTTTCATTATGGCAGTATGATGATGTGGAAGAATGGGAAAGAGAGGTACTAGCTGACCCGAAATTGAGCAAAATTCTGCAGCAACTCATTACCTACCAATAAAGAGGGGGTAGAAGGTTACAGCTTGATACATGGATGTCTACACTACAAGGAGAGGTTAGTTCTACCAAGGGAGTCCACCAGAATTCCTTTGCTCCTCAAAGAATATCATGACTCCCCAATGGGGGGCCATTCGGGCTACTTACGCACCTACAAGCGGCTGTCCAATGTAGTGTATTGGGAGGGAATGAAAAGAGATGTCCAGCAATATGTGGCAAGTTGTGAGGTGTGCCAGAAGAATAAATACCAAGCTTTATCCCCGGCTGGACTGCTGCAACCATTGCCCATTCCACAAAATGTGTGGGAGGATATTAGCATGGATTTTATTACTGGACTTCCTAAATCCAAGAGGTATGACACAATACTAGTTGTGGTGGACAGACTTACTAAATATGGCCATTTTTTCCCATTATCCCACCCTTTTTCTGCCAAAGATGTTGCTGAAAGCTTTATAAGGGAGATTGTCAAGTTGCATGGGTTTCCTAAAACTATTGTTTCAGATCGGGACAGGGTTTTTATAAGCCACTTTTGGCAGGAATTGTTCAAGCAAGCCGGCACACAACTCTGTCTCAGTTCCTCTTACCATCCAGAATCAGATGGACAAACTGAGGTGATCAATCGAAGCTTGGAAACTTACTTGCGTTGCTTTGCAAACGAAAAGCCTTCACAATGGGCTAAATGGCTATCTTGGGCTGAGTATTGGTATAATACTTCCTATCATGGGGCAGCCGGTATGACACCCTTTAAAGCGGTGTATGGTCGGGATCCTCCAGCATTCTTGAAGTTGAGTGGTGAACCCTCAGCTATAGAGGATGTAAACGAGCAAATTCAGGTTCGGAATCAGATCATCTCCCTTTTGCGGGATAATTTGGCTAAGGCTCAAAGCAAAATGAAAGAGCAAGCCAATAAACATAGAAGAGATGTCCAGTTCAATGTTGGAGATTTTGTCTTTGTGAAATTGAGACCCTACAGGCTGAAAACATTGGCTAAGAGAGTCAATGAAAAGTTGAGCCCTCGTTTTTATGGCCCTTTCAAGGTTCTTGCGAAAGTTGGGAATGTAGCCTACAAACTGGAATTGCCACCCACAGCTCGTATTCACCCGGTTTTTCATGTTTCACAACTGAAACAATCTGTGCCTTCGATGGTGGTGAACCCTACCATTCCTCCGGCCCTTTCTAGTGAACTAGAACTACAGGTGCAGCCCGAAGATATTCGAAGAGTTCGTCGGCTTATGAATGGACAGCAAGAAGTGCTGGTTAAATGGCACGATTTACCTGAATTTGAAAATTCCTGGGAAGGTGCAGACCTGATTTGCAAGCAATTTCCAGCATTTCCCCTTGAGGACAAGGTGAAACTTTTAGGGGAAGGTAATGATAGAGCCCCTCATTATTTTACTAAGACTTATCAAAGGAAGTCAAAGGGGAAGAATGACTCTAGTAGAATAATGGTAACTGGTCCAGAGGTTTATCCTTCGGTCTCTAGCCGTAACGAACAGTAGCGTGGGATCTTTGACCATAACTAAGATCTTTTGGGAGGTATGGGCTAGGGGGGAAGCCATGCTGTCCATGCTGTGGGTATATTTTATCTTTTTGCTTGTATTATGGGGATATCTGGGGAAAGAGGAAGAGAAGGGAGAGGAGAGACTGGCCTCTCGAATGCCAGAAGGAGTGAACCCTCTTGTGAGGTTTGAGCTTGTAATGTTGTTACTTTTGTGATCATTCAGGGGAGATAGGGTTTTGGCCAGAATCAGAGGAAGACTTGTAACTCTGATTCGGTTTCTCTCAATTTATTAATATCAAAACCTCAACATTTTCCCCTCATTTATTGTTATTATTGTCTTTATTGCTGTTTCTGTGGAGATATTGGTTCGGGTCATATTAAGACTAAAAATACTCACAAATTGTAAAGATTAAAAGAAAACAAAATGTTTACAAAGCACGATGAACTAAGATCTAAATGAGTTGAATAAATAAAACTGCCCTAAATAACTCTGTAAGTTTCTAACAAAACCATCTAAAGTATATTAACAATTAGAGAGTAATCAATGATCACCAACATGAAGACTCAAAGCAGCATCCCTTCTTGGTATGTTGCTTTCAGCTTGCTCTACTGGAATCTATGCAAAGCTAGAAACAAACGCTTTTCTGCTAATGCCTCCTTCATCGGGGTAAAGCTTGTGAATGAAATATTGGCATTAATGCAACACACCATCAGAGCAATGACTGTCACAAATCTCCTGACTTCTATATAGTTCTTGTCACTCTCTTTAAGCTTTTGTTTTTACTCTTTCAGCTCCACTCCTTTGTTTCTGCAGCCTAGTACTTCTGCTAACTAAGTGCTGCCTTGTAATAATTTTGGGGCAATGAATTCTTTCACATTCAAGAAAAAGGAATGATCTTGAAAGTACAAGTAAATTAAGACTTTTCATAACCCAACGGCCATTTATATCCTTATAACTAACTCTTCAATAACCCAAAACCAAGGGTATAAGCCAAAAAAACAACCACCTGAGCAAACTCGGAGGGTTGATGAGGAAACCATTGCAACTCCTAAGCGCTCTGTTTCCTTAGGACACATCTTTCATCACCACAACACCGCCCCACCACAGTGCACTTCTCTAAAAAAAAAATAAAAAAAAAAATCCTGGGGCTCTCTATTCAATCATTTTGCAGTGCTCAAACTCCCATTCATTTGTACCAAATGCAGCCTAAAGTCCAAACAGGGGTTGGTTGACCTAGATTACTTTGGTCCCTATTATAGGTGCCTTCAAGAAGGATTTTTTGGTCATTAATGTAAGGCACTTGATAGGGTATTAATTACATTTTTTTAATATTATTGCTATTTAAACTCCTTAACTATGAGAGAGAATGAAATGCAAATTTAAAATTTTTTCATTTAAATAGGGGTAAAATTGAAAGTTTATTTTATTTTCATACAAAATTAATGACTTAACTACTTTTTTTTTTTAGTTTCAGTAGGAGTTAGAAGTATGTTACAACAGGGACCAGAGGGAGTACTCCCTAAATGTTTAAATGCTATATCAATGCTGGAAATTAATGCTAGATTGTTATTTCCAACATGTCATAGACTCATGTATAGCAATCTAGTTCTCAAGCTCCTATATAGAGGTTAAACTTTAAAGCATTATCTTAATGAATTTTAATTTTATTCCTGGTTTTTACAATTTTTCAAGAGAGCAATTGCTTTTTTTCCTCCTCCATTGTTATCATTTATGCCTTCTTCAAGATAATTTGCTGTTATTTTTAGGTTTCAACTTTGTAAATGCTGTTGCTATTATTGGATAACTCCACAAGACATTGAAACACTTAGTAATGAATTTTCTTATATTGCAATCACATTATTTTTATATCATGATGTCACAGCTATTATGCTAAATTTATCATGTTAGTTTTTATCATTGTTGTCATCACTATCATAGAAATTAAATGCTGTAGTTTTGATTAGTTTAATTATTTCATATAAAAAAAATATGAACTAGATTATATAGAATAACATTTAAGAAAATAAGAAGATCTTTTGGGGAAAAAGAAATTCAATTAAACAAGCAGATTCCTTGTGATAATTCTTTTTTGGTTCAATTTGATCTATCACGCAACAATGTAAGATAGTAACAGGCGTCCCTCACCCAATAGTTTCTACAATGTCATCATATATTAGCATCATCAATAAATCTTTACGCCAATCTTACTGCAGGTTGCCTTTGTTTTAATGGCGGATATTGTAATTTCTATTGGGGCTAAAGTTGCTGAAGGTTTGGTGAAACCAACAATTCGCCAAGCACAATATATTTTTTGTGTTAAAAATGTAGTTAAAAACCTTGGCAATGAAAAGAATGAGTTGGTATCAGAAAGGGATCGTATCCTAAGTCTTGTGGAGCAAGCAAAGGAGAGAACTGAAATAATCGAAAAATCTGTAGAGAAGTGGTTGAATGATGTGAAAAATCTGCTGGTAGAAGTGGAGCGGCTGGAACAAGAAATGAAAGAAAACCATTGCTGTCAAGGACAAATTCCTACTTGGAGAAGATATTGTCTATGTAAGGAAATGGTGAAGAAGATAAAGAGAATTGCATGTTTAAAAAATAATGGCAAGTTTGAGCCATTTTCTCACCTTGGTCCTCTTCCAAGCATTGAATACATCTCTTCCCTAAATTTTACTTATTTTGAATCTACAAAAGAAGCTTACAACCAGCTCATGGAGGCAATACAAGATGACAACACTTACATGATAGGGTTGTATGGGATGGGAGGATCTGGGAAAACAAATCTTGCAAAAGAAGTTGGCAGAAAAGCTTTGCAGTTGAATTTGTGTGATCGGGTTATTTTCGTTACTGTTTCTCAAACACCAAATGTTAGAGGTATTCAAGGAAAAATTGCTGACATGCTCTGCATGACACTGAAAGAAGAAATCGAAGAAGGAAGAGCACAAAGGCTATGGCTGAGGCTAAAAGAAGAGAAACGAGTTCTTCTAATTGTGGATGATGTATGGGCAAAGCTCAATTTGGAGAGTATAGGATTTCTCTTAGATGACAACAGCATTCTCAACTTCAAGGTCCTTCTTACAACACGTCTTCGACAAGTATGCGCTTCAATGGAGTGTCAAAGGGAGATTATACTAAATCTCTTATCTCAAGGGGAAGCTTGGATCTTGTTCCAAAAGCATGCAAGAATTGGTAATAGGTTCTCATGCAATCTCTTAAAAGTTGCACGGGAAGTTTCTAATGAATGCAAAGGGTTACCCATTGCAATTGAAGCTGTGGCATGCTCCTTAAAAGGAAAAGGTGATGATGAGTGGAAGGTGGCATTGGAGAGCTTAAGAGGTTCAGAACCTTTTGATGATCATGAGGGAGAAGGAGTAGGATGTGCCTACAATTGCCTCAAACTAAGTTATGATTATTTGAGAAACAAAGAAGCTGAGATGCTCTTGTTATTATGTTCTTTGTTTCCTGAAGACCATGAAATTTTTATAGAGGATTTGATTAAATATGGTGTGGGCCTAGGTTTATGTGGAACCTTTAATTCCTTTGACTTAGCAAGGAGCCGGATCAGAGCAGGCATAAACAAACTTGTAGATTCTTTTTTGCTATTGCATTTAATGCAAAGTGAACATTATGTGAAGATGCATGATATGGTTCGTGATGTAGCTTTGTGGATAGCTTCGAAATCAGTGCATCAAAAAATTCTGGTGGATCTCACAAAAGATCTTAATAGCTTGGCAGAGGATGGAGCTATGAAAGATTCTTTTGCAGTATCTTCATGGTGCAAGGAAATTGATACAATTTATCATCATTTAGATGCTCCAAAGCTCGAGATTCTTTTGATAAATACAATGCAACAGAATTCTCTGAATTTTATGTTGCCATCTTTTGAAGGAGTGAAGAGGCTCAAGGTTATGGCCATGATCAATTCATTTTATCAAACTCCCTTATTATTGCCTCAGTCAACCCATTGCTTGACTAATCTTCGGGCTTTGCGCTTGAGAGGATGGGACTTAGGTGATATGTCATTTATAGTGAGCCTAACAAGGCTTGAGATTCTTGACTTATCAAATTGTTACTTTAAGGATTTGCCTAAAGGAATGGAGAAACTCAGCAAATTGAAGTTGCTGGATTTGTCTCACTATGAAATTCCTGAAAATTTAAATTATGAAGCAATAGGAAGTTGTTTACAACTGGAAGAGTTATATGCATTTGGATATACTCAGAGATGTCATTGTCAACGCATGGAGGATATTGTTACTCTCCCAAGTCTGCAGAGGTTTGTGATCTATCTTGGGAAGTTTGAAACTCTTGATAATGAAGAAAGTGTCAGAGTTTTACAGCTGCTAGATTTCAGTATGTCCAACTTAGGTGCATCTAAGCAAAATCTTCTACAAAGGGCAGAAGTTGTTTGTTTAGAAAATCTTCTTTGAGATTGTAAAAATATCATCCCAGACATGGTCCAAGTTGTGGGAGGCATGGCTGAATTGACCAAACTTTGCCTTCAATCTTGTAAAAAGATAGATTGCCTCATCGATTCAACTAATTATCATGCTACCTCATTTCAAGCAGATGCTTTGTTACCCAAGTTGATCAAGTTGGAGATATCAGAAATGAACAAGTTGTCAGAACTGTGTCGAGGCCCTCCCATCCTAGCGCTTGGGTTCTTCAAGAAATTAGAACAACTTTTCATTGGGAACTGCAAGCAGCTGTACAACATATTTCCAGAGACATGTAACTTATGCAACCTTAAGATCCTGAAAATATGGAACCGTCATTCTTCAGCAATTGCATCACTCTTCTCAATGTCTGTTGCCAGAAGTATGGAACAATTAGAAGAGCTATGGATACAGGGTTGTGATCAATTGAGGCATATAATTACAGGAGAAGGAGGGAATGGTACTAGTACCGGAGAAAATTCTCACACAATGTTCCATAAATTAAAAAAATTCTCCATTTGTGACTGCCCCAAGTTGGAATTTATATTTCCAATATCATTTGTCCAAAATGGTCTTTTGCAGTTGCAAGAGATAGAAATAGAATCTACCTCTGGACAGAAACATGTATTTGGCCAATATGACCATGAGGTAAATGCTTCTCATCAAAATCAGGTCCAAATCATGCTTCCTCCTTTGAAAGTATTCTATCTATACAATGTTGAAAATCTCCTAGGGATATGTCCAGAAAGCTACCATTTGGGGTTCCCATCTTTAGAGGAGCTAGACTGCCAGCGATGTCCAAAATTAACTGCATCATGTATTAGTATAATTATTGGTTCTGAACAAAGACATATGAACAATGTACGTATTTGTATGTGTTTTTCCCCCTTCTCTCTAACTCTGAACTAAGTTTCATTACATGTGTCATTCCCCGTAAGATTGTAAAACATTTTTATTCTATTTTTAGGGAGTTTCGCTTGACAATGAGCAGCAAAATCACTTGACCTCAAATTTGCAACAACTACTGTTAGGAGGATTATCTGAGGTAAGGTTCATATGGTCAGGTCCTGCTCCAAGACCAGTATTGAGTTTCAAGTTCCTTCAATGTTTAAAGGTAGAGAACTGTGCAAACCTGAAATCAATCTTCTCCACGGTCATCAATAGAAGCCTACCTGAGTTAACACTCCTAAGCATATGCAACTGTGAGGAACTGGAAGAAATTATGGCAGAGAATGCAGAACCAGAAAGTCTATCCAATATAGAAGTTTGCTTTCCAAAACTAAGTGAGCTGAGGATTGAGAAGTGCAATAAGTTGAAAAGCCTTTTCCATGTTGCTATGATAAGAATGCTTCCACAACTGAGCTTTATACATGTATCATGTGCTGCTCAGTTAGAAGAGGCTTTTCAATGTAGCAGTGAAGGCAATAGTGATTACGGAGACCAAGTTATGCTTCCAGAGTTAAGAAAAATAGAACTACAAAACTTGCCAAGTTTTGGGAACATTTTCAAAGGGTTTAATTTTCAAGCACCAAAAGTTCAACAACTTTATATAAGTAAATGCCCAGAATTTTCTCCAAGTGTCAGAAGAGGAACTCAAGTGACTACTTCTCACAACACAACAGAGGTACTGATCAGTATTTTTTTTTCACTTTTTCTGTTTATTTACTTTTTTTCAAGTATAAATTTCTAAATTCATAATGGTAAGCGTAATTTTCATTATATTTGCAAAAAAAAAAAAAATAACTTAGGATTAAAAAATTAAACATGAGCTATCTGGTTATTGAAATGGTTATCCTTTTCCAATTTTAGTAATTGTGTTGGTGCATGATTTTTTTTTTTTTAAATTGATCATGAGATGTAATGTGAAGTCAATATTAACATGTTTGAAAATGATTGAAATATTTTGAATGCATGAAGGCCAAATACCGTTTTCAACTTGAGAGTATTTTATTGTTCAATATCTATACTTGAAAGTAATTGCTTCATTTAGATATTTTTATCTGTCATATTCCCCCTTGTCATTTATGAAATCACAGTTTTGCATGGATCATAATTTATCCACCAACTTTATTCCTTTTTAACTATCAATCACTTTGTTTAGCAAAATTTAAACATTTAACTAAAATATTACATGTGGCTGGTTCAAAACTTGTGCTGAATTATTGCATGTTGAATACCTCCTAAATGTGAAGAATGAGAAGAAACTCATCATTTTTACTGAATAAATGCCTCATCAAACATGACAGTATAAGACTGACAATTTTAAATTTATGTAGAGACAAGTATTTTGGTTGATTGTTGCCACTTGCAATTTAGAAGCTTTCCTAAGCTTGGAAGTTCTGCATGTGACCAAAAGTAGAGAAGAAGGAATTTTCCAAATCCAAGCTGCTGGAGAACTCAGTAGTAATAGTGAATTGAAGCCATTGAACTCAAATTTGGGGTATTTGACGTTATATGATCTACCAGAGCTGAAATTTATCTGGAATGGGTTCTCAAAATTTTTGAGCCTTGATAAACTGACACATGTATCAATTCAGAAGTGTCCAAAAGTCAAAACAATCTTCTCCTTAGCTTTTATTAGATGCCTACCCAAGTTACAATCCTTGTCAGTATCAAACTGTGAGGAATTGGAAGAAATCATATCTTTAAATTCAGAGGATGCACAAATCAGCGCTGTGCACATACCAGAGGTTTCTCAATCTAACAAGGTTTATAGGCATGGCAGCGAAGACAGAAGTGACAGTCAGGATGAAATCATTCTTCCAGACTTGAGAAAAATAGAGCTCAAAAAATTGCCAAGCTTTGCTAACATTTTCCATGGATTTAACTTTCAAACTCCCAAACTTCAACAGCTCTATGTAGATAGAGTGCCCAAATTTGCTCAAAGAGGAACTCATATGAATACACTTCATTACACAAAAGAGGTAATTGTCAATCTAGTTATTTTGACATCCACCATTTAATGTTCATAATGTAATATTACATATTGCTAATTTAAACTTGAAGGTTGACTTATAACTGCATATCAATGTCTCTTAAATGTGCACAAGTGAAAGAAGATCATCATACTTTCTCATTATTAAATGATCAAATTTGATACCTTTTAACTGAATGTAGAAGAGGCAAATATTCTGGTTGATTACTAAAGCCTCCAATGAACAATGGAAGCAAAGGCATCGTGCAGCTTTGCAAGCTTCTCTAAACTTAGAAGTCCTTCATCTGAGTATGTGTCAAGCAGAAGGAATTTTCCAAGGCGAAGGAGAACTTGGTAGTAACAGTGAATTGAAGCCATTGAACTCCAACTTGGAGTATCTGAAGTTATGTGATCTACCTGAGCTAAGATTCATCTGGAAAGGGCTCAAAAACTTTCTTAGCCTTGAGAAACTTACAAGAGTATCAATCTCTAGCTGCCCAAAATTAAAAACTATATGCTCCCCAAGCATTGTTAGATGTCTACCCAAGTTACATTCATTGAGGATATCAAATTGTGCTGAATTAGAGGAAATCATGTCTTCAAATTCCATGAATGCACAACTCAGTCACCCTTATGTTTGTCACCAACAAGTGTGCTTCCCACAACTGAGTAAAATCACAGTTGAGCAGTGCAACAAGTTGAAGTGCATTTTCAATGATCTTATGGCCTATCATTTACCAGAGCTGCAGTCTCTTGAAATCAAGGATTGCTGTCAAATGGAAAGGGTTTTGAGAGTTAAAACTGAAGATCTAGATGGAAAGCAGACATTATTTCCAAAACTGACAAAACTTGTGCTGGAAAGTTTACCAATGTTTTTTGAGATTTTGCCCGGCCTTACTTTGCCACCTGGGTTTAATTTGCAGCCTTGGCATGAATACGTAGTCATGGATTGTCCTAAATATAATCACGCCTACACTGAAGCTAGCACTTCTTATTTGGATGCAATACCAGAGGTAACTAAGTACAACACTTCTTCGATATATCATTGCATGTGTGTTAAGAAGTGTATCCATGGAAAATTGAGAACTCTTTCCTTCATCGTCAACAGGAGGGTTTTTCATTTAGATGGAACCTGAGGTAGAATGCACACTTCTAATCATGTCTTACAATTAAATATCTTACAAATAATTTTCAAATCATTAAAAATTAAAATGACCACATTCACTCAAATAAAAAAAAAAAAAAAGACCACGCATGACACACATCTATTGCTATAAGGGTTTTGTGTTGAAGGTTTTTTCTTCCACTTTTTGTTGCTGGCAAAAAAGGGTGGTTCTTTTCTTGAAAAAATGTTTACATAAAAACAATCTTATAATTTGAAATTCTGTCTTATATTAGTTCTCTGTTCATATTTTAACATCACATGTTTTTATGCATGTTGTTTGTTTTAAATTTTGAAGGCATCATCATTTCCATTTTCTTGATAGGATTGACACAAGTTAGTTCTATTTCTTTGGCAAGAGTAGCATCACATATTTATTTGGCTAAAATAAGAATTGCCTTCACTTTCAGTTTAGCATACACTGATAATGTATAGTCCCTTCATTCAAACGTAAGACATATTTTGAGGAGTTGGATGTTAAAAATGTAAGACATTTTTAGTCTTTTAAGGAGTGATCATTGTTGAAGGCATTTTTAGTCTTTCAAAGTGTAATCATTACTTTTTTTTTTAAAGCACCCTTATTGAATAATCACTTTATATTTATTTCAGAATGAAACACCCTATTAAATAGGGGTAAATACGGAAAGATAGGATTAGCTTGAAGACAAATAAATATTTTATTGGGAGTGAAATTTGGTTAAAAATATCTTATATTTTGAAACGGAGGGAGTACTTAATTGTAAAATTACATGTAAAAAAAGAAAGTCATCACGCCTTGCTATGATTATTAACTCATCAAAAGTTGACAATACAAGAACTGACACTTTTTGGTAATGTAGAAGGCACGGAGAAATTCTCAGCCTGGTTTTAATCAAAATGTGAGGCTTGGCCTTAAGCTAGCATGGAATCCTCCATGTAATGGTTGGATTACTATCAAAGTTGATGGGGCTTTTGATGAAGTGAACAAGATAGCAGGCTGTGGTGGTCTGATCAGAGACCATAATGGGAACTTTGTTCATGGGTTCATGCATCATATTGGCAGAGGAAACAGCTTAAATGCACAACTTTGGGCCTGCATCATGGGACTCAAGGGAGCTTGGGATGCTGGGTTTCGCAGAGCTATACTAGAGACAGATTCTCTGCAAGTTGTGAGACTGTTTGGGAAGGATGTGCAGGAAAGATTCCTAGCAGAAGCAGAAGAGGAACTTGTATACTTAATATTTAGTATGCTAGGTAGGAACTGGAAGGTTTGGCTTGCGCATCGCAAGCCGGAGGGCAATGTGGTGGCAGACTTGCTTGCCAAGTTAGCATTGCAAGCGTGGCCTGGTTACCACTACTTTAACCATCCACCAAAACAAGTTGAGAAGCTTGTTTTAGAGGAAGCTAGGAAGCCATTGTTAATGTAAATGTAATTAATATAAACTGTTGGAAGATGTCTAGTTTGCAAAATTGTGTTTAGCACTGCTTCTATTATTGCGTGGAGCTCAAGATTTAGTTCCTAGTTGGAGCATTACTCGTTAGTAGTTGTAGTGAAAGGAAGCTCCTGCGCGCGCGCGCTCATATATGTACAGATGTATATTGATATATGCTATTCAAATTAAAGTTACCTCAATTAAAGTAATTTATACGCATTTATTATTGATAAAAGGAATATATGTACGAGTTTGCTGAAATTTTTTGTTATACACAATCTGCTAAGGACATGTATGTCTTTTACCGTTCCTATACCATCATAGTTTCACAACCTGTATATATCATTTGTGTGATTCATTGTCGTCACGCAGTCAATCACCACTAGTAAAAATAACAGGATTTGTTGCCTTTCACTTATTGAAATTCAAAGTTGCGCTTTAGCTTTCACCAGGGCAAGATTCCCAACCTCTTTGTACACAACTAGTTTCTCTTCCAAGCATATACATACATACGTGCATGTATATATATATATGTATGTATGTATGTATGTATGTATAAGTATATCATTTAACTTCTTATGTTTCTCTTGTTGAAGTCACCAAATTTGTCTTTGCACAACTGAAAGTTATTAACTTCTTATGTATCTCTTGTTGAAATCATCAAATTTGTCTTTGCACAACCAAAGTTATAAGTGTGCTTTCTCTCTTCTACCTGTATAAATATAATATGAAATGCATTGTATATATGTTCAGCAAGAAAGTATTGACATCATGCGCTTATCCTTTTGAACATGAATTAGATAAAAGTATAGAAAAAACACAGCTATTGATCCATCTAGTTTTATTGTGTTTTGTTATTGGTTTTTGCATATTTTTTCCCAATATTTTAATTCCTCTATTTTTTTGGTATTTAAATATTTTTAGAGAGACGATAATGTGGTATTAATTGTACCAAATTATTTGATATGTAACTAGGAGTGTTAATAGAGATGCTACCATGTTTAAATCAAAATGAGTTGATGATCACTTTTTGACAAAGACTGCTTTAGCTATGGTGTTTGTCAGCCTCATAATGTGATTTTTGGTCATTGTGGGTCAAGCTTTTTACTTTTATGCATCAAATTCCCCAATCAATTTTTTTCAATGTTGTCACATGTTATGCATCAAATTGCCTAATCAATTTTTTTAAATGTTGTCACATTGTCATCTTTTTGAAAATATTTCAAAATAGAGAGACTAATGTTATATAAGGTAAAAACTAGAGGGATGATCTAAAACATTTGAAAAAAAAATACAAGAACTAATAACAAAATATGGTAAAATTATAGGTATTAATAGTTGTGTTTTCCATTCATATATAAATATATTTGCATACTTACTCTAGCTTCCAGTTTTGCAACTTTTGAGTAAAAAGTTGAGATGCCATTAATGTTTAGAATGTAAGTGAAAGAGCTTAAAATGATCCTTGAAGTATGAACTTCAATGTTAACATAAGGCGTCGCCTTTCGATTGGATGACATCGTACGTAGCTTGTGATCACTTGCTTCAATATCAAGTACCAATTATCACAATTACTTTTCCATAATCTTGAATTGATCTTGATGGATTCATTTAGATCAGACATAAAATTTGATTTTATTTATATAATTATTTTTAATCTTAAGTTAAAAATTAGATAAATCAAAAAAATTTAAAAGAAAGGGTTAAATTTCAAAGTACAATTACTTTTCCATAATCTTGAATTGATCTTGATGGATTCATTTAGATCAGACATAAAATTTGATTTTATTTATATAATTATTTTTAATCTTAAGTTAAAAATTAGATAAATCAAAAAAATTTAAAAGAAAGGGTTAAATTTCAAAGTGACCCCTAAATAAACTTATTTTTGATGCAATATTTTTTTTTAATTTTTTAAAATAGTGCAGTATTGCCCATTGTTAATGAATGTTAACTCTTAATTGTAATTTTATGTCCTCTTCCATACTTTTTTATTCCTTTTATATAATTTTTTAGTAAACTAATAGTAAAAGTTTATTTTTCTTAATAACAGTGGAGATGGCATTACAATGTTTATCAAAATTAAAAAGGAAGATTATATTAAAAGTAAATTAGGGATCTCAGACACTCTTAGATTTATAATTTAAGGATGAAATTATCCTTTAACCCTACAAATAAAAGAAAAGAAAAGGAGGATCTAGAAAATAGAAATAACTAAAAATATTGATATTTTGACATCTCAGATTCCATTATGAAAATCAAGGATATGTCAAGTGAAAAACTATTTCTATTTATATTATATAGCACAACAATTATAAGGGTTAATGAGCAAAATGGACCCTAAAGTATTGAGCAAAAAGTGCCCTGAATTCTAAAATCTTAAAATATGCAAAATGGACCCTAAACTTTCAAATTCATAGCAAATTAAGCCCTATCGTTAACTTTTTATTAATAATATTCTGTTCATTTGTTAATCAGTGCCACAAACCTTAAACTATTACACTAGTAGCATCCTGGATCTTAAACTTTAAAATTTTAAACAAATTACCTCCATTATTTATGTATAGAATGTTGACTATTACGTTAATCAAATTAGTTTTAGCATGGCCTGCTATGGTGAACATATCATTAGTCATGATGAATGACCCATAATTTTGTGAAATGATATTTTTCTCCCTTTTTTGTAATGTTTTTCAAACAATTGGTATCCCGTGCCTTCATATATTCTATAATTATAATTTAGTCTTATTTTGGATAATATTTATTTATTTGATGGTCAAAACTTAAGATCCCATTGAAAAAAAAGTTTAAATATTAGAAGATTTTAATTAACCAGTTAATTTGAGTATTAAATTTGTTGATGAAATCATCAAATTTTGCATTCATTGTCTGTAAAATCCTCTAATACTTAAACTTTTTTTCAAATGACATCCCAAGTTTTTACCATTAAATAAATAAATATTATTCAAAATAAGATTGAATTAGAGTTTTAAAGCATATGAAAGTATGAGATACTAGACATTTGAAAAACATTGTAAAAAAAGGGCAAAAAATATCATTTCACAAAATTATGGGTCGTTCGTCACGACCAACAATGCGTGCACTATAGTGGGCCATATTGAGGCTAATTTGGTCTACACAATAATCAACATTTTATATATAAATGTTGGGATAATTTGCTCGATATTTCAAAGTTCAGGATTTAGGACACTACTCACATAATAGTTTAGGGTCTGTAACACTAATTAACAAATGAACAATAATGGCGTTAAAAAAAAAGTTAACGATATAAATTTAAAAATTTAAAATTTATTTTTCACATTTTAAGAATTTACGGTTTATGACGCTTTTCATGCAATACTTCAAAATTCATTTTGCTCATTAATTCCAATAATAAAAATAAAATCATGAAGTAACAACAATCATAAAACTCAAGATATAAATTGATCCTGAAAAAATAATGAATACAAAGGAATCATATTATGTATATGAAGGATCTAATTTAGAATCGAGAATGTAAATTAAACTACTTAAATTGGAAGAGTACTTGTAGGAGCGATACTAAAATCAAGGGCAACGAAGACTCCAATGGTTGAGCTATTGAGCAAAGGTCTACAAAATGACTTCATTTCATCTATTAGTCATATGATAAACACTAAATAAGAACAACAAACTATGAGAATGTAGCAGGATTTTGGAAGGATGATAAACCATTTAAGAGGAGATAGGTTTGTATATTTGTGCATATCTCAGAGGAGATGAAGGGGAAAGGAAATGCTGATGAGTTCATTGAGAGACGAAGGAAGACAATTAGCATCCTCCTATACAGTAATATATGTTGTTTATAAACACCTTAATTATAGAAAAACAAAACAATGATATAGTTATTATTTTTAATTGATATGTGTTTTTTAATGATTCAAGAAGGGGGGAAAAACATCTCAAACAAACAAAATAAACGTGAAGCCATTTCAGTTACATAGAATGAAACAATAAATGGGATCAAAGTTGTTGAAAGTAGTGATAAAATAACGCTATTGGTTTCCGTTTGTATTGGGAATTATGTATTCAACTATTGGTGTTTCAGAATGAACTGGTACAGGTATAAAAAATAATTTGAATTTCTTTCAATTTTTTTAAAATAAATGTAGTGAAAGAAGTTGAAAGTAGTGGAAAAAAAGGATGGAATTGCACATGAAATTATTTTTTATAATGTTATAGCCTAGTACTTTATTATGCCACCTTTTTTTTGAGATGCAATAAAAATAAAAGCAAAACAATTAAAATATAAAGAACAAACAAATTAGTTAAATAGTAAAAGTAATAATTTTTAATTTATATATGTGTTTTAAATGAGGTTTCAAGAAGAAAAAACCTCAAGTAAATTAACAAAATAAACATGAAACCATCTCAGTTGCGTTCGTCAGAATGAAACAATAGATGGCATCAAAGATGTTGATAGTGAAAAAAAAGTAAAATAAAATATAGTTTTTGGCTTCAGTTTGCATTGGGAACTACGTAACCGCGTACATTATAGAATGAACAGACACAAATATGAAAATTAGAGTTAATGACCAAAATAAATTTTAAAGTATTACGTGAAAAGCATTCTCAACTTTGAATTCTTAAAATATATAAAATAGACTATAAATTTTTAAATTCATAGCAAATTAAATCTCACTGTTATCTTTTTGTTAATGCCGTTACTATTTATTATAGGACCTAGTTAAATGATGATGTGGTAGTCCCTTATTGATGTATTATTTGTTAATTAGCGTCACAGATTCTAAACTATTATATAAGTAGGGTCCTCGACCCTGAACTTTAAAATTTCAACACAAAACCTTATTGTTTATTTATAAAACGTTGATTATTATATAGACCAAATTAGCTTCAGCGTGATTCATTATGATGAACGCATCATTGGCTGTGGTGAATGACTTATAATTTTGTGAAATGACTTTGTTGCTCCTTTTTTGCAATGTTTTTTAAACGATTGATATCCCATACTTCTGTATACTTTATAACTTTAATTTAATCTCATTTTGAATAATGTTTGTTTATTTAATGGTGAAAATTTAGGATTCTATTTAAGAGAAGTTTAAATATCATAGGATTTTACAAATGATGGATGTGAAAGCTGACGATTTCATCAACAAATTTAAAACTTAAATTAATCGGTTAATTAAAATCCTCTAATAGTCCAAGCAAAAAGGATTTTTTTTTTCATTTTATGCCTTAAAAATCTTGTTTTAAAAAAT